ATGGTAGCCTGGTGGTTATTTTATCTTATGGAACAGCTCAGTTGTAATTTAATTCAATGACAGTTTCATGTAAAAGGTATACATATGCCTGCCTTAAACAAGTGCACTCTCTGTGGCCCAGAACCATGAATCCTTTTCTGCCTCGTGGCTTAGCTTCAAGAGAAAGGGTGGGGAGTGCCTCTCTCCCTCCTGAAAGATTCAACCCTGATGGTTAAGGCTCCCTTCTGGGAGTGGGGAGATGCGACTCTCTCAGGCAAAGGAAGAATGGAAGCTTGGTCTCCAACTTCGTGGGTTACCTGGTGGTAGCCACTGGGTCATTATGTGAAGGGGAGCTGCCACCACCTTCTCTGCCTGCCATGTTTGCAAGAGAAGACTGAGCCTTACCAATTTATTGGAGAGCGTGCCTCCCTGCACAGGGTTTAAGAGTCTGCTCCAGGCATCTCATAAGAAGTTAAACGTTGTAACGTCCAACTTCTTATGCCACATCTGACAGCTAGGAAAAGTCCTCACTTTCTGCAAAGCTTGAGCAAGAGGCACATTTTGAAGTCCCAACTCATTGGCCCAGCACTGTGCAGAACAAAACCAGTCCATTAGGCAGGCCAAAATGAGAAGCAGCACGTCTGTGAAGGTTAGTTAATTTAAAGTGGCGCCCAACTAATGAATTCAATGGTGAAAGCTCAAAAAGAGGCTCCGATCGAGATGATAAAATCAACAGTTATTTAAAAATAACCACATCAAAGAACAAAGGGAAACCTATTTTAACCAGTGCTACTGACTTGCTAACTGCCCATGTTACATGTAGTGCTACAAAAAAAGTTCCCGTTTCAAATGGGAACTTTTCTTGTAGTGGATCCATTATTTTTGTGCCACAAAACATCTGGACACTTGCTTTCTGCAGGGCTATAAAGGTGTACGTAGCTGTACTACAAAAGTAATGTGTACCCAAGGCCCAGATGTTTTCCAGACTAATTGAAAAGACACGATCATTATGATGCAAATCAGACATGCATGTAAATGTTCAACAATGCTTTCATATGATTACCAGCTGGTCTAATAGAAGGTATCGTTTTGGAACCAAGAGTTCTAGTTTCTTGTATGTCTTTTTGCCTCTGATCAACATGGCTACCAAGTACACCCCTTCAAATGGTTACACATTTTGACATAGGCAGACAAGGTTCTTTGGGTAAAAGTGATCTTTTATTAGACCAACTGCTTGCAAAGAAAAACTTTTCAAACTATTTGAGTTGGCCTAATAAAAGATATCAGATTCACCCAAAGAACCTTGTCCATCTATGTCCTTAGAACAACACAGCTACAACTTGTATCCCTGAAACATCATGACATACACAGTCGACTACACTCTTGAATGCAAAATATTTTGTTTGTAAGGGCAACCTGTGTAATAAATAAGAATTGGTAAAAAAAAAAAATACTTTACACTTCTTAATAGTGCTTTGATAAAAAGGCCTAGAGAACTGGCTGACATTTATAACATTCCTTTGAAGCAGAGGAGAGGTTAAATGCAAACATAATTGTACTTAAACCTCTAACAACCAGGAAATGGATTGTCCAAGTGACATTGCAATTTTAGCTTATTTTGTTGAACCCATGAACTGGCTCCACAATGAGGAGCACAGTATGCAATCAGGGTCCCTGTTCTGCAAGCTGTTGGGTGTATTAGTGAGAGGCTTAGCCCTCAACTCTCATTGGTTCCGTGCAACCTCAGACAGTTTGAACATGCTCTTTACTGCCCTTCCACATCTTTAGACACCTAAATACCTTGATCTTTAAATATCTTTAAATGCTTTAGATTATTTGCATCAGATGCATTTCAAGGCAGAATCATTTTAATGCCCGGATATAGAAAGAGGAAGGAATATTTATAGGAATATTTTGGCCCATCTGACAACAGAGCAAGGGAGATGTTAAGTGAATTGGCCAAGGTCACACAACAAATTAGTTATGGAAGCAGGAATGATGCTCAGGTCTTCTTTCTCCCTAAAGCTTGCAGAGAAACACAACCTCCTTCCTCCAGTTATTTCCCATCATAACCAAATGCCCAGTCCCCCTCTTACTCGCATTAGAATAGCCGAGTTGAATAACAAAAGCCTGCCTCTGATATGAATGCAAAAGCCAACATTTATCTTATTGCAATTCAAGAGATCTAATGCTGCTTACAATCACTGCTTCTTTCTTATCACGCTTCATGAATATTCTGAAGTTCCCAAATAGTTAAAAATAGCATTGCTTATTTGGAGAGCTTCTTTGTAATATCATTAAGCATTGTATATCTCAACTGTTCTGCACAGCAGCATTTTCAGTTATTTCAAATAGCCCCAATGTATTTTACAACAAAAAAATCTTTGTGTATCCCTCAATGATGCCAACAGCAAGCAGCTCAAATCTTTTTCTTAACTGATAGGAAATCAATCTCCTGACAGAAGCAATATATTAGAATGAGTGACACCAGACCAGAGTAATGCTATGCTTAATATTTTATTTATATTTTTATGTAAACAATTTGCTTTGTAGGCACAATATAACAAAAGCTCTAAAGCAACAAATACAATTAAACAATGTTTCAGTTCACTTCAATCAGGCTTAAGTTAAAGAGAAGCTTTCACAGTTCCTTTAAGGCAAATTGAGAAATAATTTGTTTCACTTGAGGAAACCATCCAATTATCTAGAGAGAAGTTGTTTAAATGACAGTGTTAGTAAGTGATCAATGCAAACCTTCATTTAGACTGCAATAAGATTTTGTTCTGTAATAGCCTTTTCTACACAATGCCCTCTATCACTCCAAAAAAAGCAATGCTACCTTTTGTGAAATCGCAGAAAATGCTCAAGGCTAACAGGGCATGTTCTGCTCTCAGTGAACCATGCTGCTTGCATTGAAGCGCATTGCAAATTTTGTTATTATTATTATTTTAAAAGAGTAGGATAGAACTTTCAGTTCATTCAGAATTATATCATGATTATATTTTGTAGTTCAACTGTAGAGTGGATTTAGAAGAATGCCATTGTACTCACCGGGTTTATTCTAAGCCTGTATGATGGAGTTTTAGAGATTAGAAAGTTCCTCTAAACTGGCATAAAATAACTAGAAAAAATGCTTCTTTTGATCATTGCCCTCCATCATGTCTACAGATACTCTAGGAACACTCACTTTTGTTTGACTCCCTGGGAAATGTAACTGCAGCACCAATAATACTCGAGTGTTAGCAGGACTGGTTTGTCACTTTGCTTGCCCTAGTTATCTAAGGCCTTGAGAACGTCACTTGGCTGCCAGCTCAAGGATCCTAAAATTGCTACTCAGTTTGGTGTTACATGAAATGCGTAGGATATGCGTTAGGTGCATTGCAGGACAACATGGCTATAGCAGCTTTAAATAAAACAAACCATATGTCTTATCGTTGTCAGCTTATGAGTACTGAAAGTTAAACAGCTGTTCCTTTAAAGACTCAATATGGCAATCCCAATGCCTGTAAAACTTCCAATGGATGAATTGTATCTGAATACAGACTGAGTTTGAGCCTAATGCAACACTGATACTGTAGAATAATACAGGCATAAAAAGATGACACCATCATACTGAAACCCTGAATGGACTAATGAAGGAAAAAAATCCTGTTGCGACTAGTACTTCAAAACAAAAAGTACTTTTTTCTAGCATTTCCCCTTTATATAATTGTTGCTTTTTTCATTATTAGTATTTTTTTTTTGCAACCCAAGGTAAAATCATTTTAAATGAATATTCTGTACAACTAACTAGTATTAGAGCAATAACAGTGCGAGTATACTAGAGAGGAGGACATTAATACTCAGTCAGCATTGACTAAATGGGGAAAAAAAAACCCTTCAAAGATTTCTCCAAGTCCACAAAGTCCAAATCCAGACCTATCATTCCTATCTGGTTGAGAAAAGCCTGAGAATCACCCACCCCCCGCCCCAACTTTTTTTTTTTTTTTTTTTTT